GGGGGGGGGGTTTACTCCGGCTGACACTAAAGCAAAAATTAGTGAAGCTATGATAGGTAAAATGTAGGGGAAGTTCGTTCTGATGGGACTAAAGCTTTTATGAGTGTTGCTCAGAAAAGTATAAACAGATTTGGTGAAAATAATCCTATGCGTAAAAGTGTATATGTTAATTCAATTGATCGAGAGACGAAAGATATAACACAGTATAAATCTTTTGATCCTAGTATAGAAGCTACTAAATACTTTGATTGTAGCACACGAACATTATATAGATATTTAGATAAGAATAAATTATATAAAACCAATGGATTTTATCATCGTCTGAGAAGTAGGTTTTCGGCTCTCTCTATATTTAGTAGGGGGATATAAATCCCTTCATTGAATTATGGCTTTTTAAGCCTGAACACCCCCTACTCCAGGGATTATTCGATACGACTACGTTGTATTTTAACACCCCTCTCCCTCTACAGGCTCTACTAAATTATTTAATTTAACAATATTTGCATTTAAGCTTTTTAACTATTACTATATATGAATGGATGTGGCGAAATGGTATACGCGAGTATTTTAGGTGTACTTGATTTTTATCGTGTGAGTTCAAGTCTCACCATCCATAATAAACAAAATAAATTAACCCTAAAAATGTCCCATTAAATATTCTATTAAAAAGAAAAGATAAATAAAAAAATGTTTTTCTGAATATTTAATGGGATATTGGTTACCCCCCCCCCTGAATATTGGTTACCCCCCTGAATATTGTTATATGGAAGAGTATAATATAAAATAGTTAAGGGTGTACGTAAGGTTCAACAAATATTAGAATGGTTCAGATATTCTGGCACACAAACCGACCAGCAGTAGAAAAATCAAATTTGTTATTGATAAAAGAGAAACCTTAATATTTTATTAGTTAAATTATTAGTTAAATAATTTATTAGTTAAAAATATTTTATAGGATTAGCTAAAATAAAAAATAGGATAGATCCGTTAAGTTTAATAGTTTTCTCCAACCCTGGTCCCATCCCTCACGGGGTCTTTATTAGGTAGAATACCATAGGGGCCCCTAGTTTTTTTTGAAAAGCCGTTAAGAGGAATCAAACCCCTATCGAATAATTAACAACAAAAAAAAAATAACGGCTTTTGTGCTGTTCTCTATACCCCGGGCCCCTCCCTCAACGCCGGGCGGCTTAGAATTATTGAGGATAAAGGGTTGTTGGTTCTATATTTCATCGCTCGTCATCGTCAAGGGATTTTGTACCCAAAATCTAACTCCTTGTCTCGACTAAGGTTTCCCTTCTTCGAAGGAAAATCCGTCGCCAAGCGGCTAGGACTCATATGTAGGGTTTCGAGAAAAATAAAATATCAGTAAATAATACTATAAATTTGAACCTTATAAAATAGAATAAAAAGTAATCTTATTTTAAGAACTTGGCCTAACGGTAGGCTTCTACCGATGAGCTGGAGGGCTCTGCACCGTAAGCTCTGGAGGGAAGACTCCGAATTAATAAAATAATACTCTATTTAGATACTATTAAATTATTTATAACCCTCTATAAGGGTGTACCCCACCGAGAAAGTTAAACATTACACCCTTACACACGTTACTACCTCCCTTAGATTAAAAGCCGTTAAGAGGAATCAAACCCCTATCGAATAATTAACAGTTACCCGCTTTATCATTAAGCTATAACAGCACAAAAGCCATTCTTTTTTTTTATCGGGTTAAAGCCTTAAATCTTAAAATCGAGGGGGGACTTATTTGTTTCTTAAAAGAGGACTTAAGAGGGGGGGGGAGACTTTACCTTTTAAGGGGGGGTTAGGCCCAGTATTAGTTTTTTTTTCTTTGGTGAGTTCAACCCATTTTGGGGGGGCTAAATTTTTAATAAAAATTTAAAAGCTAAGGTTCAGCTTCATCACAGATGGGTTCGTTCAGTTATTGTTTGATGCAAAGAAGAAAAGGTCAATAAACAATGTATTATAAAATTACAGTATAGATATGTAAATTAATTTTCAAGATAATAAAGAGATTAATTGAGGATGACTAGCCAATGATAATAAAGGGGGTATAAATACCAAATATCCTAGCTAATAATTTCAAGCTTAGCTAAATCTAGGATTGCCCTATGGGAAACCAAAAATTTTTAAATTAATAGATTACCTTATGAACTGAAACATCTAAGTAATAAGAGGAAAAAAAATCAACTGAGATTCTGCTAGTAGTGGTGAGCGAAAACAGATTAGCCTGCCGGCATAAGCTGGCTATAATATATAATTTAACTACGAATAATAAATTTCTTCCCTGATGTCAAATAGATGTTTTGGGATTAATGAAATTCCTGGAAGTGGGGTATACCAAAGAGGGTGATAGTCCCGTAATAGTTAGGTTATAATTTGTTTATCTTTTGCTCCTGCAATTGAGTAAAAAAAAAAAAAGTAAGATGGAAGAGAATCTGTCTGAATTAGGGGGACCATCCTCTAAGGCTAAATATGTATCATTGAGCGATAGTGAATAGTACCGTGAGGGAAACGTTGAAAAGCAAGTAGATAACTGGTGAAATAGATCCTGAATCAATAATCTTATAAGCAGTCGAAGTATGGGAAAAATAAAAGAATATGACGACGTACCTTTTGCATCATGGGTGAACCGCTTGCCCAGAAAAATAGCGATATTTTTTGTAATACTGACTCATGGCGTCAAAACGCCGGTATAATAATTTTTAAGTTATTATGCTAACGGTGGATTCTAAGGTTTAATAACTATGAAAATACCGTGGGAAGCTTATAAATCTTAGGAATAAAGTTTTAAAGATGAAACTTAGAGTAAATTATGAAAATAATGAGACTCATTTTTATATAGCCCTGTAACGACTGATCCGAAAGGAGAGACTGATTTTTGAATCGGTAACACGTCAGCACTTAAGCAGTTCCAACTAATCATGATATTAGTTTAAGCAATATTTTCAAAAAGGAATGGAAAGAATAAAAGGCACAGATTTTTTTATAAATTTATAACACAAAAAAAAAAATGATACGATTAACTAACTTTATTAATTATACTAATTTTAATAAAATTTCATTACGATATGTTGGAAAATCTCCTAAAGCTCATTTAGAAGTTACACCGATGTTAGATGAAATAATTATAGGATCTATGCTCGGTGATTTATCGGCAGAAAGACCTACTCCAACAAATAATACTAGACTTCAATTCAAACAAGCTAGTACAAATAAACCTTATATAGAACATTTATTCTTGTTATTTAATGAGTATTGTGGATCTAAACCTATTAATTTATCTAGATTTGATTCTAGACCAAATAGAAATAAATTCCATAATGCTATTAAATTCCAAACGTTAAGCTTACCTTGTTTTAATAAATATAGAGAATTATTCTATAATACAGAGGGTATAAAAACTATACCAAATAATTTAAAAGATTTATTAACTGAGAGAGGTTTAGCTTATTGGCTAATGGATGACGGTTATAAATATACTCAAGGGTTTTATATTTGTACTGATTCTTATACTTTTGAAGAGACTAATTTCTTATGTGAAATACTAAGAACTAAATTTGATTTAGAATGTAGTCCTCATAAATATAGAGAAACTTTTAGAATTTATATTTCTAGTAAATCTACGGATAAGTTAATTCTAATGGTAAAACCATATTTTATTGAACATTTTTATTATAAATTAGGTTAATTTTTTTTCTCGTCTTTATGACAAACTCCCCCCCCTACGTTGGGGGCCTTTTTGATAAAACTAATAATCTAAAATTAATCTTAAGTTGAAGGTATAGTCTAATCCAATATGAAAGTATTGGTATAAATGCAGCGAGTTTATAGGTAGTGCAAGTAAAAATTAAAAGTCTACCTTTATATAGGGTAAGATAATTTTAACAATACTTAGTGAAAGCGATCATAGACTGATTGGTATGGGTTAACCCAACCTTTTGGGATCTATGGGGGAAGTACTATATATAAGACCCGAAACCAAGTGATCTTACCATGGCCAGGTGTAAGACCGAACCAACTACTGTTGCAATAGTACTGGATGAGCTGTGGTAGGGAGTGAAAGGCTAATCTTACTTGGAGATAGCTGGTATTCTGCGAAACCTATTTAGGTAGGATCTATATCTGGATTATAGCAAGTAGTGCTCTGCTTTTAGCAATCCATCTGTTATTTAACAAATGGGGTTGCATTGAAAAATGTGATTTATATTTAATGGGGGGATTATTATGATTCTACCCACTGAAGGCAATCAAACCAATGGTTATAAATTCAAGATATAGGGTCAGACTATGGGTGCTAAGGCCGATAGTCAAATGGGGAAGAGCCCAGAATAGTAACTAAGGTCCCTGCGAAATGTTATTGGAAAACATTTCTTGGGTGTAAACTATCAAACTCCGGGGAAGCCCTAAAGCTTATGGTACCAAGCTACGTAGGAAACTACGTAAGTGGATGAACTAATTACTCATGTACGGTAACAAGCCATAAGATGATTGAAAAAGAAATGGGTAATCGCGGATCTAAGTCATCATTGAAGTTTAATGGTGTAAAAGAGCAACGAGTAGACGGTAGTTGGTGCATAGCAAAATCTATGCATTTGAGGTGTATTCTAATGGATTTCGAAAGAAATTATCGTATCAAAATCCTTTCTAAACAATTAAATATTAGACAATTCTCTACTTTCACCCAATGCCAAATGTCTGGGATTAATCGAAAATCAGAGAATTTAAATCAAGGGTTCTGTATTTCAGACCCTGTAGTTGTTTATTCTAATGCAGAAACAGATAAAGAACTTATTTTATCTGTAAATAAAGGGAAATCAGGGATCTACAAATGGACCCACATAGAATCTGGTAGATTTTATATTGGGAGTGCCGTAGATTTAAGTAATAGATTAAAATATTATTATAATTCCAATAATTTAAAGAGAACAGATAACTATATCTCCAGAGCTTTACTTCTTCATAGATATTTAGCTTTTTCTCTTTCTATTCTTGAGTATATTGATATTTCAGGTTTATCTAAAGAAGAAACTAAAAATTTAATTTTAGCACGTGAACAATGTTATCTTGATTTTATCTTTTCAAAAGAAAACCCTAATACTTATAATATATATACAATAGCAGGATCTCGGTTAGGATTCAAAGTTTCTGCTGAAACTTTAACAAAAATGAGTGAAGCTAATAAGGGAGAAAATAACCCCTTTTTTGGTAAAGTTCATTCTGTTGAAACTAAAACTTTATTGAGTGAAATCAATAAAGGTGGGAATCATCCTAAATTTGGGAAAGCTCTTTCAGTTGAAACTAAAGCATTAATCAGTAATGCCCATAAAGGTAAATCTCTTACCGATGAGACTAAAGCTTTAATCAGTGAATCTCTTAAGGGTAAGACTGTTTCTTTAGAAACTAAAACTAAAATGAGTATAGCTCAAGTTAAAAGTACTGCTATTTATGTGTATGATCTCGAAGGAACACTCCTTCATGATTTTACTTCTGCTCGGAAAGCAGCTGAATTCTTTGACTGTAATCACCATACGATTAAAAGATATGCTTTAAACGGTTTAACCTTTAAAGATAAATGGATTATTTCTACAAGTTTAAAAACTTTAGATTCTAATCCTGAGTCCCAGGACAAATAATATCTTTATTCGATTAATTTTAGATTTTAATAAGTAGAGATAGTGAGATATTTTAATTGCATGATAAATTTGAGGCCATGAAATAAATACTAAGTGAATATAAGGTAGTGTCGTATAGAAAACATCCATTATGTAGGCTTGGAGGCAGCAATCATTTAGAGAAAGCGTAAATGCTCAATGGTCTTTTTAATATATGATGCACCAATAATTTAACGGGTCTAAAGTATTTTACCGATGTTCTATCTGCAAAATAATATTATACTTTCTAATAGATAGGAAGTAAGTGGTTCTTAACAAACCACCCTAAAAATTTGCAGGGTAGCAGAACATACTATATATGGGATGAAGGGTAATTTTTAATTACCTTGACATAATAGTAGAGATTATGCTGACATGAGTAACGCAAAAGCATTAAAATATGCTTCACCAAAAGCCTAAGGGTTCCATAGAAAAATTAAATTGCTATGGGTTAAACGGTCTCTAAGAATATAAGCGAAAGCTTTGATTGATGAGGAATTTATTATAAATATATTTAATAG